TTTAGGTCTCCAAAGTAGATGAGGTAATAAGAATAAGTAGGTTGAGGGGAAATGATCCTGGTAACGGCAACATTTTTTCCCCTTCTGTGCCACTCTTTAGTGATGTCTTCTCCCTATCAGTGTGTGCACGCATGCACACACACACACACACACACACACACACACACACCCCTTCTGATATCATACTCTTTGAAAATGCTACTGGTGCTCCTGAAAACCAGTACCTCTTCTAGTGGAATTTGAGGGTGCCGCTATTCTGTTAGTAACTGCCAGAAGCAGTGACAATGAAGCAAATGTCCATCTATGTCAGAAGTTTGCTGAGGCATCCTGTTAAAACTCTTAGGTTTACACCAGAATGTTGACTTATGCCATTACTGAAATCATGAAAAACACCCTGCCTTTCTTTTCTTTTTTAGATGACGAAATTGAAGCTTGGAAAATTTAAATAGTTTGCTACTGATTACATGTTTATGAGTGTCAAAAGCAGGTCTTTGTAGTTCTACTTCGGAATAAATCTGGTCTCCCAAATGCCATATATTTAGTCCATAACCTTCTGTATTTTTAAGAATCATCTCCATTTTATTTTTGCCTCAGTTTCCTAATCTTCCTCTCCCTTACACACCTCGATTGTAATCAAGTTACAGACAGAACTAGATCAATAGCTTCTAGAAACTATAACCTCCACCTACCCACGTTAACAAGTTCTTTTCCTCTCATCCACAACTGCAGGCAGTGATGAATGTGTAGTTCAATTGACTTTTTTATATCCTGGGCTTAAATTCATAATGGAACTGTCACTCAGGACAGTATTTGGTGGTCACATTCTAACTGAAAAATTTCTTTCCTGACTGCTTGCCAGTATGTCCCCAAAGATAAAGTTTTAAACTCCTGAATGCTTGGTATATGCCTTTAATTGCATACATTAGCAACCTAACTGATAGATTTCCACAGTTATATTTTCCCCTAAAATAGCCTGATAAATATATTTTATAACTGAATACTGATTCAGAAATAGCCAAGCCGTATAGGAAATCACTTTCAAGAATTGGGATGGGTGCTCCTTTAAAACACAGTTTCTCAGAAAGCATGGAAGATAGGCTTCCTGGGTGTGGAGAAGAGGTTTTTAAGACTGAGCCCAGAAAAAAATAGCATTTCCTAGTATCATTTACAATCATAGGAATAAATGAAATTGAACTGAAGAGGATACTAACCTATCTTCCTAGCTTCTCAAGTGTAATGGGAAGAGAGACAACAGTCTCCAAAGATACACAAAGAATTATATCTGGTTTGCTTTGCCCACTGCTACATTGCACATTTTATATTTCAATTAAAATTTTTAATTAAGAAATTTCAACTGTTGTAAGCATACTTTACAACTAACATATTCCTATGACCTCTAAATAAAGTAAGTCTTTAGTAGGAAGTAAATGAACTTGAATATTAAGAAGATTCTGATCAAAATATATGGAAATATATTTAAATTAAAATTATGTTGACATTATGTTAATGTAAAATGGTAACTCTCATCTAGTTTGAGGCTGTTTTAATCAGTATATTAAAATGTATTTTAACATTTCACTACTCTAAATCCATGTAAATATGAGAAATTTTGAACTTTAATTTGATACTCTTTTAAATAATTTTAATACATAAAAATTTAAAAATAACTTGTGATCTTTTTTGTCAATTGTAGTACCTGGAGCAAGGATTCACCTGATGAATATATGTTTTAATGTTACATATTAATGCATTTTTATAAATTTCATCTATAATGCATCATCTTGGCCTGTCTCTGATGAGGATATATCCTATCTTTCCAGTGGGCTGAACTTTCTACCTGGTAACTTTATTCCTTCCTTCCTTCCCTCCCTCCCTCCCTCCCTCCCTCCCTCCCTCCCTTCCTTCCTTCCCTCCTTCCTTCATCAATCATTAATAGCCATCATTTAAAGAATTCACAGTCTGGTTTGGGAAGTGAACAGTTGGACAAATAAAATGCTGCAAGTTCTGAAGAACTTGCCCATCCCATGTCTTCCTCCTCTGAACTGAACACCACTTGCATGAGTGATGGGCGTGGCCCCTGAAACCAAGTTTTATTAGATGAACTACCTATTACTATACAATCCTGAGGACAAGTGTTTCCCGATGTTCCAAAAGACATCCTTAAATATTTTATATGCACTACATAAATAGAATCTTGATTTTATCTTCAGGTTATTATTTTGTGGTAGTTTTTATTGCAAAAATAAAAAAATGAAATTATATCATAATATTAACATATTCATCAGCTGTGTGACGTTTGCTGATATTCTATTTCAGAAACAAAATTTGCTCTTTGAATCATTATTTGAAACAACATGTTTCTCCCCCAACCCTCTGACTTGGCTCTTGTTTCTCAGTTTAACTCAAAATATTAGCGAATCCCAGTTTTCTGACATGGAGATTCTTTTTTAATAGAGACTATAGTCTCTGCCTTTCTTTCTAAAACGCTATTAAAAATACCATAAGAAAAATATAACCCCAGATTGCTGCAGTATTTACTGACAACGCATGCTATTAGAATTCAGATAGGAGTGAGTTTAGGTTTCAGGTTTCAGATATGGCGTTTAACTACTAGTGAATTCTGAACCCAAGATTCCTCACCAGTAGAAATGATACACTTAACCTTATTACTTTGCTGTGAGGAATAAACCAGGTTACATGTATAAATGTACTTTCCCAGTGCCTAACCTATGTTAGAATCTCAATAAATGAAAATATCTTGTCTTCTTCCACTTGTGAGTTTACTTCTAATCTGTGAGTTCCTGGCACATTATGGAATGAATTATTCTCTGTGTCCTCTTAGATACATTAGTTGACCTTTTTCCTCTGCTTTCTTACCTACTAAGTAAGAAATTGAATCAGATAATATTCTAAATAACCTTCTATCTCAAAAACGCATTTTCAAACAGGGATAAAAAGATTCACATTAGAGAAAAAATGTAACAAATATCCTAGAATAAGAAAGTTCTGGATTTGAATGTAAAAATCTATCACTAACTATGAAGCTTTGGGGCAGTGGTTAATTTCAGTAAGCATCAGGTCTTCTCCTTCATGAAATAGGGGTAAATAATGTTTATCTTATAAGTTTCACTTGAGTATTAAATGGTATAATGTTAGGAATCAAGGGCTTTTCAATTAATAATAATTATTATAATATGCTAATACTATAATAATTATCATTAACCATTACCATCTCATCATTATTGTTATTTCAATATCTCAATTTTAGAATGGAAGCTTGAAAAATAATTAAGTTTATTATAAGTTTAATAAAATGATTGTCTAAACAATATGTGTATTCAAATTCTTAGGGACTGTGAGCCATTGAGGAAACACATGTTCCCTCATATTTAATTCAGGGCAAGATTTATCTAAAAACATTCTTAACATTTTTATGTTTTCAAAAAGAAGTTATTGAAAAATCTAAAATTTTCCAAACACTGGGGCAACAGCAGTAGGGAAACAAGCAAACAACTGCTCACATAGAGCTTATAGTCTAGCATTAGGATTGGGTGATATAATCTGAATCAGTTAGATTTTTGCCAGGTAACAAACCATTCCACAATTAGTGTTTTAAGACAATAAGCAATTATTATTTCTCATCAGTTCTGTGGGTCAGCTAGGAGATTCTTCTGGTCTGTACCGGCTCAGCTTGTGGTGGGTGGTCTAAGATGAACTCACATGTCTGGAATTTGGATGGAGGTACATGGGCAATGGGGATGACTTGACCAAGGGTCTCTTTTTATATAACACTTGCCTTAAGCTCCTACACATATACTAGTGGGTGCAGGGTTCCCATAAGCAGCAAGATAGAGTGAGTCCCATGTGTAAGAAAACTGTTATGTCTCTGCTTAGATCATGTTTGCAGTTGTCTTACTGGCTAAAGCAAAGAACCTGGCAAACCCCGAGCTACTGTAGGGGTAGAGTACTCAATCTACTACATAATCTGTTGACATGAGATTCAAAACTGGGGATCTTAGAACACGGAAAATGGGTTTAAAGAGACGATAAGAGCACAGGGTACACCTAAGAGCCCAGTGGTCTGAGGTTGAATGAGAGAAAATCAGTTACCTCCTAAGGGATCTTAGCAATACAGAATCGTCTGGGAAAAGTCAGGTTTTAGTTGGAGAAAGAAGGGAAGGAAAAATTTCTAAACTGGTGAACAAGAGAAAGTTGAGGAAATAGGGAATTTTGTTAGGGAGTGACAATGATTTCCTGTGGGGTTTGGGAGCTGAGAATGAGATCAAATTAAGAGATTAAAAGCCAAGTGATAAGGAGTAACGTGAGAGTTTGGAGTTTATGCTGGAGATCAGTATAAGAGGAATAAATGTGTATAATAAAAGTTTTTCACTTAGACTAACCTGCTGAGGAGATATTAAAGTGGGTATTATGTTTGCCATAACTGGTTCTACCAGGTAAAATTATTAAAGGACCAGACAAATAGTCATTTCAAGTTTCCCAGACTCTTAGTGGACCTAACTGAAGACTTTTCATGACCAATAACAAATGTTGAAACTACTGTGTGTCGCTCTTGAACATTCTTTTCCATCCAGAGTGCTACTTTTTACTCCTTCATAAGCATAGCTACCATAGACTCCCCACCATTCTAGAACTTAAAAGTGTACATTTCACCCCCTCAATGAACTATTGAGTGTATTTCTTTTTCTGGCATGTGTTCATTTGACTGATAAGTAAATAAAAACTGCTTTGTCTTTTTATTTTTTTGAGAGTCTTGTTTATTTTTTGTTAAGAGCCTTATAAGATGGTCACAGAACTAGTTGTGGTGATGACTTGGTGAGTGTTCCAGTGGGGGTGGGGAGGGCATCTTTTTCAGAGCATGCAGATTTCCACTGAGGATGCGCGAAGCTCAGAAGGGAAAGTTGAGAGCACTCGGACCTATAGGGTTCATGTCTAACATCCAGAGCACAAAGAAAACTTTTTTATAGAGGATATCTTCTAAACTGCTCACATGGGCAGCACATATGCTAAAATTGGAATGATACAGAGAAGTTTAGCATGGCCCCTGTGCAAGGATGACACACACATTTGTGAAGATATCTTTTATGAAATATATGCTTCTTAAGATCAACAAAATAATCTGTATAGTGAGGTATTTATGTATATAGGCAAAGTAAAAATCCCCCTAATTTATTTATCTCTACATTTAGACATATTTCTCTAAACATTCTTATTTTATCTTCATAGTCAAATATAGATTAATCATCTATGAATATATCTAAAAATTAATTTATTTACATGCATGAACTACTAGTTATTGTTCTATATAAATAGATGATTTTGAATTTAACAGTTCCACATTATTTTTAAGTAATTCTCTAGAAGTGCCCCTGATTTTAGCAGACTAAAATTTTGAGAATAAGTTCATGTCTACCTATCCATAAACTTCATGATTTTAAAAGTCTTTATCTTACTGCTCAGCCTTTATCTTTCCAGTTAGAGAAATCCTCATTTATAATCTGTCATTATCCAGAAGGTTCCCCATACCCTTGATCAACAGGAGAAAGGTTAAGCTTCACTTTCTAAATCAGGACCTGAAGGAACTTGATAAGAGACAGCTAAAGTCAGGAATCATTAATCACTATCATGCTAGAAAAATTGAGAAAAATATCAAGAAATATAGCATTGTAATTTGGGACCTTTCTTTTCTTCCTTCTTTTTCTTTCAAAATTTGAACAACATATATTAAGAGAATTAAGTTTAAAAAATAAGTTACTAAATAAGGCTTATGATAAAAATTTGTATTTGAAATGATATAGTCTTTCAAAATAGCACAGATTTTGTATAATGTTTTATTAGTAAACTTGAGGTTAAATTATTTCTCTTCAGGTGTAACAGACTCACAAAGACTTGAGAAACTGGAACTTTTTTATATTCCTCCTTGTCTATCCATATCCCTTTATATCACTCCCTATCTCCATCCCCCAGCTGCCAAAAAGCCAACTATTAAGCTATATCTAAATCTATATAATATTTTTCATACCTGTTTAGGATCTGAGGGAAAAACTTTTATAAATTCACTTTCATAATACTTTGCTTGCAGTAAATGATGGGTTATAATGTGCTCTGCAACCAGACTGGCGTGAGATTGTGGTTGGGGAAAGAGAGGAAAGGAAGGAGTATGTGTGTATGTGCATGCATGTGTATATGTGTATGTTAGAGAAAGAGCAAGAGTGAGAGCAAAAGGTATTAAAGACTTTTGAAGGATATAGCACCTCTGTTGGATATATAATGCTGGAGAATTTAGATAATTGGGAGATGGTGCATGGGAGATTTCTGATGCTATGGGTGTGGATGAACTCATTCAAGGAAAGTGTATAGAATGGGAATCGGAAAAGTCCAGGAACAATTTTTGTTCACAAATATCAAAACAAGAAGTTCTAAGTAGTAAGAGCTTGATCGGAACCTATGCCAGAAAACTGCTATCTGGTCACTAAGATATATGAATTTAAAAACAAAGATTTTGTTTAGGCTTCAGTGGTAGTTATGAAAAGCATTGGGAGAAGCAAATGTTAAACTAATTATTGAAGATTCCCTACATGCTTTGAAGCATTTGAATCATATCCTATTGGTTTAAAATTAACATAAAACCTAAAATGGACAATTGGAATACAAGCAAATACTATGAGGCATATTTCAGATCCTTTCCATAAGTAAGTTGAAGATGATGATCCTCTTTGATTCTTTATCAATCAAAATGTCTTTATCAATCAAATTTCTTTACCAAAGTGTCTCTTTAATACAATTGTGTATACTTAAAGGCAAATGCACGAATGGCTATCAACAGGTAGTTGATTTATATATTTAATATATATTGATTTCATTGATATATAGTTGACACAGTATTACATTAGTTTCAGGTATACAACATAGTGATTTGACAAGTTTATACATCATGCTATGCTCACCACAAGGAAAGCTACCATCAGTCACTTTGTAATGCTATTCTAACACTATTGGCTGTATTCCCTAAATTGTATGTTTTGTTCCCCTAATTTATTCATTCTATAATTGGAAGCCTGTGTCTCCCACTCTCCTTCACCTGTCTTGCCCATCCTCCACTCACCACCCCTTTAGCAGTCATCAGTTCTATTTATGGGTCTGTTTCTGCTTTTTTGTTTGCTTATTCATTTGTTTTGTTTTTCAGATTCCACATATAAGTGAAATCATATGGTATTTGTCTTTCTCAGTTTGACTTATTTCATTTAGCAGAATACCCTTTAGGTCCAGCCATTTGTTGCATGTGGCAAGATCTCATAGTTTTTTTTTATGGCTGAGCAATATTCCATTTTATATATATATATATATATATATATATATATATATACACACACACACAATACATCTTTATCCATTCATCTATGGGTGGACACTTAGGTGGTATCTTGGCTATTGTAAATAATGCTGCAATAAGCATAGAGGTGCATCTATCTGTTTTGAATTAGTGTTTTTGTATTCTTTGGATAAATACTCAGTAGTGGAATTACTGGATCATATGGTAATTTTATTTTTAATTTTTTTGAGGAATCTCCATACTGTCTTCCATAGAGGCTGCACCAGTTTGCATTCCCACCAACAGTGCACGAGGGTTCCCTTTTCCCTATATCCTTGCTAACACCTGTTACTTCTTGTCTTTTTGATACTAGCCATTCTGACAAGTATGAGGTAATATCTCATTATGGTTTTGATTTGCATTTTCCTGATGATTAATGATATTGAGCATCTTTTCACATCACTGACCATCTATATGTCTTTGGGAAAATGTCTATTCTGGTCTTCTGCCCATTTATAAAATCAGATTTTTTTTTTTGGTGTTGAGTTGTATAAGTTATTTATATATTGTGGATATTAACCCCTTATTGGATATATCATTTGCAAATATCTTTCTTCATTCACTAGGTTGCTTTTTTGTTTTGTTGATGGTTTTGTGAAAAAGCTTTTTATTTTGATGTAGTCCCAATAGTTTAATTTTGCCTTTGTTTCTCTTGCCTGAGGAGGTATATCTAGAAAAATGTTTCTATTGCCAGTATCAAAGGAATTAATGACTATATTTCCTTCTAGAATTTTTATGGTTTCAGGTCTCATATTTAGGTCTTTAATTCATCTTGAGTTTATTTTTGTGTGTGGTGCAAGAAAGTGGTCCCGTTTTATTGTTTTGCATGAAGCTGTCCGGTTTTTCCAGTACCATTTGAAGAGACTGTTTTCCCCATTGCATATTCTTGCCTCCTTTGTCACAGATTAATTGATCATAAAAGCATGGGTTTATATTTATATCTGGGCTCTCTATTCTGTTCCATTGATCTATGTGTCTATTTTTGTGCCAGCACCATACTGTTTTAATTACTACAGCTTTGTAGTATAACTTGAAATCAGGAATTGTGAAACCAGTTTTGTTTCTCGTCTGCAGAATCGCTTTAGCTATATGGATTCTTTTGTGGTTTCATACAAATTTTAGGATTATTTATTCTAGTTCTGTGAAAAATGCTGTTGGTATTTTGAAGGGATTACATTAAATCTGTAGATTGCTTTGGGTAGTATGGACATTTTACCAATATTTGTTCTCCCAAACCGTGAGCATGGAATATCTTTTTATTTGTCTGTGTCATCTTCAATTTCTTTCGTAAGTGCTTTATAGTTTTCAGAATACAGGTCTTTCACCTCCTTATTAAGTTTAACCCTGGGTATTTTACTATTTTTGGTGCAATTAAAAATGGGATTGCTTTCTTAATTTCTCTGTTGCTTCTTTATTAGTGCATAGAAATGCAACAAATTTCTGTACATTATTGATTTTGTATCTTGCAAACTTACTGAATTCATTTATAAGTTTTAGTAGTTTTTTGGTGGTCTTTAAGGTTTTCTGTATATAGTATTATGTCATCTCCAAATAGTCAAAGTTTTACTTCTTTCTTACTAATTTGGATGTCTTTTATTTCTCTTTGTTGTGTGATTGCTGTGGCTAGTACTTCCAGTAAAAGTTGAATAAAAGTGGTGGGAGTGGACATCCTTGTATTGTTCTTGACCTTAGGAGGAAAGCTCTCAATTTTTACTTTTGAGTATAATGTTAGCTATGTGTTTTGCATATATGTCTTTATTATATTGAGGTATTTTCTCTCTAAACCCTACTTTGTTGCAGGTTTTTATCATGATATTGGACTTTTTATCATGATATTGGACTTTGTCAATTGCATTTTCTGATCTATTGAAATGATTATATATTTTTATCCCTTCTCTTATTGGTTGGTCACATTGATCAATTTGTGAATATTGAACCACTCTTGCATCCTGGTAATTAATTCCACCTGATTGTGGTGAATGAGCATTTGGTTTGCTAATATTTTGTTGAGGAATTTTGCATCTGTATTCATCAGAGATACCAGCTGTAGTTCTCTCTCTTTTTTTTAATAGTGATTTTATCAGTTTTTGGTATCAGGGTAGTATGTTCCTTGTAAAATGAATTTGGAAATTTTTCCTTCTTCTATTTTATGGAATAGTTTAAGAACAAGTATTAACTCTTCTTTAAATGCTTGGTAGAATTCCCCTGTGAAGCTATCTGATCCTGGACTTCTGTGTGTTGTGACTTCTTTTTAAATTACTGATTCACTTTTATTGCTCGAAATCAGTCAGTTCAAACTTAATATTTTTTCATGATTCAGTTTTCAGAGGTTATGTATTTATAGGAATTTATCAATTTCTTCTAGTTTGTCCAATTTGTTGGCATATAATTTTTCATAATATTCTTTTATAATCTTTTGTATTTCTGTGGTGTTGTTTGTTATTTCTTTTCTTTCATTTCTGACTTCGAGTCATCTCTCTTTTTTTGATAAGTCTGGCTAAAGGTTTATCGATTTTGTTGATCTTTTCAAAGAACCAGCCCCAGGTTTCATTGATCTGTTGAGGGGTTTGTGTGTGTGCTTGTGTGTGTGTGTGTGTGTGTGTGTGTGTGTGTGTCATGTTGTTGCTGTTTTATGTTTTGCGTTTGTTTTTGTTTTTTAGTTTTTATTTCACTTATTTCTGCTCTAATCTTTATTATTTCTTTCCTTCTACTGA